ACCGTCACATTATAACGCCCTCACTGCTGAAAGGGCGAGCATGTTTGGTGAGACAGGGATTCGAACCCGCGACCCTCAGATTGCGAGTCGAGTGCCTTAACCACCTGGCCATGCCAGGCCTATTAGATAAGAAAGGTTTATGTATGTTTCTTATTCAAATATAGTGGTATTTAAAGACTGTCTCTGTTGTGTAAAAGATTATCTGTTTATTAGTGACAGAGAAAAATACTACCAGCTAATACTTTTTAAATCATGTTTAGACGTTGTGATGCTAAGCTATGCAAATGTGAACATGCGGTGATCAACACATTTCATTGATTGTAACATCTACCGACGTATTATTATTATTTTTACGCGGCTTCTGTTTTATTTTAACCTATAAAAACTGAAAAATTTTTTTTGTGGTAATCCATATAAATTGTTATCTATGTATCTGAGTGAGGAAATTGAGCTTATTATAAAATAAAAAGTATAATGTTTGATGTAACAGTTATTATTCTAGTAATCAAAAGAAAATTATTTTAATTCTTGGCAATATAACAGCAATAACAGAGAAACGTTAATGTTTGCTTGTTGTCTTGATGACCATTAAGCTTGAAGAACTTTTAAGAAATATAAACAAACTAACTTTTTTACATGTCTAAATGTTTTGAAAATTTAGAGTTTATATTATAATATCTCCTTTTGATGTGATAGTTTGTTTATGAACGAATTTTCCACTTATATACATATATCCCATAACCTGTGTTTATGAACGCAGTACTCCACTATTCCACACCCACGAATGGCCGAAGAAGTTACTGTTACGTCTGCGAGGTCACGTGACTAGTGTCACGCCCCCTGCTTTCTGGAAATATCTTGTACCTTCGTGAATTGTCGGGAGATTACTAGATATAGGGTAGTCTGGTATATATAAGAGGGTGACAACGTGACGAGAGAATAATGTGTGTGTAGGTAGTGAGTAATTGATCTGCAGTGAGAAAGTATTGTTGAAGCTAACGTTCGTTGTAGCGTTTGTTTTAGCGCGAATGTTGAAATCAAGTGTATCGTGAAGTTATATTCAGAAAGAATAAACCAGTTTTATTAAGTAAGGGCTTGTGTCGCTAAAGTTTCGTCGGAACGAAGTTACGGAAAGTTAATTAACAAACGGAGACGTAACATTACCTTAGAAATTTATAGAAAAAGTATAAGTAAACAAAAACTGAAATATAATTGCCTCTGCAAAAATATTCATTATTGCTGTTATTTTCCAGCTAGAGATCGTGCGAGTCATAATTGACAGTGCAACATTGCCATAAAAAAAAAAACTTAAAATTTTCATATAAGCAATTAGACTGAAAATATTGCTTGAGGAGCAGCAAGAATATTAAATATTGAATAATATTATAAGCATATCTGAAGAAGACAGACCAATGTTCCGTCGAAATGTAGCATGTTCCACCTCAATAAAATTCTTACTTATGCTTGTTATTTGCCTACGTATTACGTATTATTCAATTATTACAAGGAAGTGCTGACAAAAATACAATAAACTGTTTTTAAAAAATGGACTTAAATAGACTAATCTATATCCGATTATGCAACAAGTGAATTTTATAGTACTGTTACGTT